GGGGGACGATTTTACACAGAAAATAACAATCATCTTGTTGGTGATGCTCCTGACTTGGAGACTGTAGGCTCTGCTCTGTGTCTCTTGGTCATGGTTGTAGATAGAACTATGTTCCCATCACTGATGATCCTGGATATGAAGGTTGGGATCAAACCAAGTCTGTTGACATCGATCCTTGCAGACAAAGACGCGTGTAACACGGGTCCTGATGTTGATCACGCAGCATCACACAGAATCCTGAGTCACCAGAGTTACTGGTGGCGCCTGTTGGTTGAGCATGAATGTGCCGCTTTCCATTTGTGCAGAACAGCCGCAGACTTTTAACTTTTTGATCGCACCTCATATCATTTATTAGAAAGGTCCTAATATGTTAAAATGATGGACAGTACTCAGCAGTCAGTATTCAATGTGGTACTGGTATGCTCCCTGTCATTCACTAAACATGAACAAACAATAAGTGGAATTACAGTGTTTCTTACTAAGATGCAATTTCTACATACTTGAGGTGTCTCTGCAGTAATTACCAGCTGTCTGTATATTTCCTACAAATAGATTAAAATAATAAGTACATCAAAATTAAGATAAAAAATTTAGTTCAGCTGTAGAACAAGTCATATAAACACCTGTAGCTAACCTAATTTGTGTAAACTCAGAATGTAGCAACAACATTTATCCTTCAATCAGAATGAATAAACTGTAGATGTTATGATGGAATAGACTCAGAATGACTTTATTAATCCCAGAGGGAGATTCAGTAGTAACTGAAGCATTTAGAAGTAATTGAAACTAATAAATAAGCATGGACATTGTTGTTTGTGTTAAGGCGCCCGTGTGGATGCCCTCGACCGAGCAGGCAGGACGCCGCTGCATCTCGCACGCTCCAAGCTCAACATTCTGCAGGAAGGAGATTCGCGCAGCTTAGAAACCCTGAGAGGAGAAGTCACGCAGGTAGAGAAGACTTTAACCTGCCTGGTTCAGTAAAGTGAGACTTGGGCCTTTGATACTGACTGTGTTCCTGAGTAATACAAACTGTTTGACTTTCTCTCACAGATTATTCAGATGCTGAGGGAATACCTGAACCTAATGGGCCAGAGTGAAGCTAAAGAGAGGCTGGAGCACATCTCCACTCAGCTGCAGCACACACGCACCAAAGAGCAGGTAACACCCGCAGACTATATGCAAATGCACAACAGTGAAGTTTTACGGTCCAGCTAAACTGTATCTTGTTTGTTTTCATATTTGCATTTAGTGGTTTACCAACTCGTACGTCTGTTTCTGTTTCCTTCAGGTGGATGAAGTGACTGATTTATTGGCCAGTTTCACATCACTCAGTCTACAGAAACAGAATCTGGGTGACAGGTAGAAGACAAGGTGTGCAGAGAGCTGCTCTGTTTTAAAGTTCTTCAGGAGCCTTGGCCGGACCAGCCGCCTGAACCGTGGTGCCGGGGTTTGTCTGTCCCAAACTCAGTGTTTACTCAAGACTGCTCTATGGGACATTGAGAGACTTTTTCATTTTAACCAAGATAAGATTTAGTTAGCATTTAACCGCTACGGTACTGTGCTACTTCTCAGCATATATCCTTCAGTGTTCATTTAGCCAGTCAGATCTTACTCTGGGTGAGACTGCTTGAGACCACGGTTGGTGTCTACAGATAAAGAGAGGCGGCTGTACGGGTGCCAAAGTACTCTGACTTGCCGGAATTAGACTTCGGGGTGTGCCTTTTGCTGCTGCACATTTCACACAACTTCCTCCTCTTCCAGCATCTGTTTGTTGCCGTTTTCAAAATCCCTTTCACTTCAGGAAGCAGCAACCTCCAAGCAGAACACTTGCACGCTGAAAGTCTGGAAGGTGCAGCATTTTAATGACAGCCAGATCATTCTCCAGCAGTGACACAGTGCTACGGAGGTAGGCCAGGATATGTGGGATTCATTTATTAGAAATATAGCAAGACAATAATTATTTAATAAGGGATGCAATAATTGACCAGCAGCACTTTTCATAGGCAGCAAAACACAGTTGTAAAATAAAGACTCGGGCAACAAAATACAGGCACCTGCTAACAAAATTGTTCTTTTCTTGGTTTAAATGAGAAGTTCTGTAATGCTGAAAGCCAACACTGTCGTAGATGATCAGGAAAACACAAGAAACCCCAGGGGCAAACCCACTGACAGCAGGAGGCTGGTGGACAGAAGCTAACCCAGAAATGCAGTTGGATGTTGGCTCTTTATTGTGTGTGTGTGTGTGTGAGAGAGAGTGTTTGAGTCAAAGTGTGTGTGTGTGTCATGTTCTCTCTTTGCCTGCCATTATTAGACAAGTTCTATGATAATTATTATGAGACTTAATGATTTTCACTGTTGTGCTTTTGGTTGTCTTATCAACAGCATCTTTGTATCGTTGCCTTTTTTTTTTCTTGTATTGCATGTTTCTATGTGATCTGTACTGTACAAAATGATTTTGTGATATGTGTGAATCAATAAATCAATATCTTTGGCTATTTATAGGATTGTGTCCTTAATGCAGTGCCATAATGAATTGTATTTTTTTATTTATTGTTTATTTATATTGTCTGCTTTTGCATTTTTATACAGATTTCAGTGTCATTATGTTAAATGAGAGGCCTGCTGTAGTTATTCCTGGTTGTGAATGCAGAGCTTTAGCAGAACGCGTTGCTAACATGGCTACTGATCCTCGCCGCTGATTGGCTGCGCTGCCGAAGCCCCTCCCCTCCACCGACACGTATTGTTGTCTCGCCGAAAATAAAGATGGCGTCCGGACCCGCGTAAATTGGAGATCCCATAGAGGTAGTAAATTTTAAGAAACGCCTTCTTCCTCACCTCCCGGTGTTTGCAAACTACACTCGCTGTCAGTTCAGAGGAGACGAAGACATGAGCAGAGTTGAATGCACGTCCGCCGCAGTGTTTCGTCCACCTCAGGCCACTGCGGCCTAGCCGTCAGGGAAAGCCTCGGGCTTTCCTTAGCCGCCCTCCCTGGCCGGCTGACGGCACACTCGGCGGCACGGATTCGAGTCTTGGAAATGCTGGGGAGCCCGAGTGTCAAAGTGAATAGACAGGGGGTGTGTTTGTGTATCTTTACGAAAGTAGGCGGGAATTTGTTTAGCTGGCGTTTTGTGCTCATTTATGTGTAACAAACCACATTAGTACTGCAATACAACACAAATGGTATTTTTGGTGTAGTAGCGGCTAGTCAACGGGCACTTGTTCACTTTTGAGTCCGTCCTGGTTACCTGCAGCTGCTTGGTGTGCTCATTGCAGGGCCAAGTAGGGATATTTGACACAACCCATCATCCGTTTAAGGCATGTAAATGACGGAAACGTGTTGGTTTTTCCACTTGTGACTTGTACTGCAACGTTAAACTGCTTTCACTTTTTCTCTTTTTTTGTGTGTTTAACAGGTCAGAGTCCTGCCTTAATGTGATCCATGACATCCAATGACAAGCAAACGCGCTGACGAAGGAGAAACCATGGCTTTCGAGGAGATCAAGGGTAAAGGAGGACTTGGTAATGTCCATGTGTACTGTAGTCTGACTGCACTGTGCACACTCACTGGACATTTTTGTACAAACAGAAAGCAACAAAACTACATTTATTGTTAAAGCTGATCCACTGCACAGCATTTGCACAAAGAAGGAAGAACAATTTAAAGAGAAAAGACCCATAATTTAACCAATGTTAAATGTAGTATTTCCTAATGCACATGTGGCCAAAAGATAAAAGTGTTTTACTGATAAAATAAGACTGATGTTATGTATTTTAGACGTGGGCATGGAGGGAGACAGGGGCCTTGTGGCTGGTCGTAGCCAGCGAGAGAAGAGGAGGTCGTACAAGGACCTGTTAAGGGAGGAGGAGGAGATTGCTGCCCAGGTACGAAAGTCTTCCAAGAAGCGGCCAAAAGTAAGTTATCTGTCCTGAGTAGCCTGACCTTAGTATCACAGAAACCTTTATTAGATGAGGTGTCGATGTGCGTTTTAATGTTTTGCATTAAATTATTTTGTGCCAATCAGGACTCAGAACTTTTCATGCTGGGAGGAGACTCGCACAAAAAGAAGAAGAAGCATAGCGACGACTACTATTACAGAGGTGAGCGGTTGTATGTACTGAGAAGAGGTCTTATTTTCACAGATTATTATTAGCTTGGGTCTGTGTTTACTTTTCTCTTCCCCTTATCAGACCATGATGGTTCAGGCCCACCTCCCCATAAGAAGAAGCACAAGTCTGCAGACCGCTCCCCGACTCTTTCTTCCCCCTCATCATCCCACCCGACAGATACAGCGATGGGCCTCCTGCAAGCCATCACCTCCCCCCTGGCCACAGGTTCGGACCCCAGCCCCCACTTGCACAAGAAGCCCTCCTACCCCTCCTTCTCCTCGCACTCTTCCAAGGACCGGAAACGCGAGAGCAGTGGTGGCGGCGGCGGCAGCGGGAGCAAAGGGAGCCACTCCTTCTCGCACTCCCGCCCCGTGTCGTCGTCGTCGTCTTCCTCCAAGAAGCACTCGTCCTCTTCCTCCAAGTCGTCTCTTTTCCACGGCGGCGCTCCCAAAGAGGAGCCCCTGACGCTACGCGAGGCAGATGGGCTGAAGATGAAGCTCATCATGTCGCCAGAGAAGGAGGAAGGAGAGAGCTTCCCGTTCACGCCGCACTCGTCCAAAGGAAGCGTGAAGAAAGAAAAGGACCGAGAGCGGACGCAACTGTCAAAGTCACCAAAGAAGAAGGTGCAGCAGAGTAGAGATCCGCTGCCTGTCGTGGGAAAAGAGGTGGAGGTGGAAGGTAAGATCACTCTGAATGGTGCTCTGAGGATGCAGGTTATTTCTCTCTTGCAGTTTCCTAAATCAAATTGTTCCAGCGATAGTAATTGATGCATTGAACTTGATCTTGAGCTTATTGTCCTGTTTTCTCTTGTGCAGGCCACTACGGAGGTGGCATGGGAGACGATAGCTCCTCGTCTGGGGGAGAGCTGGAGGCGGGCGAGCTGGTTATAGATGACTCATACACGCACTTGTCGAAAAAGAAAAAGAAGAGCAAGAAAAGCAAAAAGAAAAAGGACAAAGAGAAAGACAGAGACAAGGACAAAAGTGGGAAGGACAAGAAACACAGTAAAGGATTCGGAGGTGAGTTCAGTCAGTTGTGACTCTGAGTTCTGTGTCTGTTTGGATGATTTGAACAGTAGAAACGTGAAGAAATGATTCTGTAATATTGTACATATCATATACACATAACACGCCTAAATATTTCTGCTGTCGTCTTTACCCATTAGACATGAAGGTGCACGTTAGTTTCAGTCAAATGCAGCCTGTTGCTATCGTGGTCATGGCCTGCTATGCAAACGTTTGATAGCTGCCATACTTCATGGAAAAGAGACACGGCTTACATTTTGTATGACTGACAAGAGGAAACTCACTGCAGCAGGACGTCAGACAGATAATCTTTGGTCAGCTTCATGTCTGTCTTTGGTTTTTGTTCGTATCAGTCCAAAGGGCAGACAGTGCTGGTGGCTTCAGTGTAGCTTTGCCACAGTGCGTTAGTGTTAAGTTTTGTGGTTGTTAAACAAACGTTATTTTAACTATTCAAACTCCTTTAAACAGGTTTAGCAGCTTCCTCACAGTCCACTGTTATTTCCTAACTAGACCTGTTTCTGTCAGAGCAACATCTCGGCCCATACTCAGAGATTTGGGGTTACAGTACATAACTAGCATCGACCCACTGTTATCTGGCCAGCTGACCAATCAGAGCCTACTGGGCTAAAAAAAACAGAAGTTAAATGGTACCATTTCAGATAGAGGGTGACAAGATATGCTACGGCAATGTACAGTTAGAGGTCTTTTGAACAGTGAAGCATGTAAACTCGTAGATTAATCGTAGCAACTGGACTTGCTTGAGTCCCTTGAAGACGTTCCACCTCAGTTCTGACTGACGAGTTGGAAGTTCCAGATACTTATATCCTTAAGGAGTCATTAAGACATGAGGTGTTAATGGCTCCTTAAGAATGGATTTGGATGAGAGGTGAAACGTCTTCAAGGAACTCAAGCAAGTCCAGTTGCTACGATTAATCTACAAGAGTAACCATGACCTGGATGAATCTTCACAGACAAGCATGTAAACCTGTTCTAATAGACCCCAAAAGCTCAGTTCTAAATGTCCTTGTAGAAAGCTTGTGGTGTTCTAGTGTTACTGTCATTATGCTGACCTGAGACCAGCTGAAGCCAATAATGGGAATACTGTGAAGCAGAAAAGAGGCTTTAAAAGAATGTACCACCACAATACGGACAGTTTCTTTTCTGAATTTTCAGATTTCAAGACCACACTCACTATAAATCCCAATTTCTCAAACTTGTACCCTTTGCCATTGTCTTGACCTTTGCTTTATCTTTTGTGTGACCTTCATCAGACTCATCCAGGGGCCACAGTCACTCCCATCCCACTGTCACTCACAGCGCCGTTGGCCCAATGTACGCCATGGGCACGCCCATCCCTCCTCACCACCACCAAGGCAACGACGGCGTGACGGAGAAGAAGAAGAAGAAAGAAGACAAAGATCGGGACAAGCACGAGAAGGATAAAGATAAGGTATGATCACAACTCTTCCATGTTGTCAGTAGTCGTTGAGTTTTGTGCCTCGTTGTTACTTTGATTATTGAGTGTTTTTTTCCTCTTGTAGCCCAAGAAGAAGAACACAACAGCATATCAGGTGTTTTGTAAGGAGTACAGGGTCAACATCAACGCCGAACAGCCAGGACTTGGTGAGTAAAGTTTTGATAAACAGTGTAGCTCAGAAGAAACCATGTAAACTAATCTGTTCCTGTGTCTGACCTGCAGTGTTTGGTGAGCTGAGCAAGAAGCTGGCAGAGGTGTGGAAGGCGATGCCAGAGAAAGACAAGCTAGTGAGCTCATTCCTCGTCCTGTTTAACAGAGTATAAGTGTCGTGGTGGTGGACTGGATGTAACTTGGTTTCCTTGTTCTCTACAGGTTTGGAGGCAGAAAGCTCAGTACCTGCAACACAAACAGAACAAAGCTGAAGCCACCACGGTCAAACACAAAACCTCCAGCGAGAGCAAAAGCAAAGGTATCCTGGACTTAGCTGATTTGATCATTTGTCGTTATCATTTCTCAATTCTTTGCTCTCTAAATTACTTTTTTTTTTTTGGTCCTCCTAGTCGTAGGAACAGCAACAGGGATTGTGTCGCCGAACAGAACGCCCGGCACTCTGTCCCTGTCCCCAGCCAGAGTCCCAGACGTTGATCCCATCGACGCAGCAGCTCACCTGCAGCTCTTAGGAGAGTCCCTGTCCCTGATCGGGCATCGGCTACAGGAAACAGAGGTGAGTTTGCACACGTATTCACAGCCATTAGTCTGAGCGATAACCTTTATACTGACATTTAACGAAACAAAAAACGAGTTCTCATGTCAGTCTTTCCATTGATTCATCTCTCGACTGTTTTGCAGATTAGTTTAGAAATCAAAAAGATGAATGTTTGCATTATTAT